TTTTAAAATGTTTGAATGCCAATTGATAGTTGGGATCGGTACGAATTCAAAAAGGTATAACATTTCAAAATCGGGCAATATTTACCCGAGATATTCAAAAAAAATCATTAAAAAAGTTTCATTTTCGAAACGACCACGATTTTTCGAAAAAAACGTTATGTAACCCCTTGCCATTTGGTCGATTTGGGCCAAAATTTAGATTTTCATTTTTTTGATGCAAATTGATAGTACTGATCCTTACGAGTCCAAAATGGTATAAAATTCCAAAATCGGACATTATTTTGCCCGAGATATGCCAAAAAAAACATCAAAAAAGGTTGACTTTAGAAACGTATCGTTTTTTGGTCAACAACTTTGTTTAACCCATCGATTTTTAAAATGTTTGAATGCCATTTGATGGTTGGGATCCGTACGAATTCAAAAAGGTATAACATTTCAAAATCAGGCAATATTTACCCGAGATATTACAAAAACATCGTCAAAAAAGTTTCATTTTCGAAACGACCACGATTTTTCGAAAAAACTTGATGTAACCCCTTGCCATTTGGCCGATTTGGGGCAAAATTTAGATTTTCATTTTTTTGATGCAAATCGATTGTACTGATCCCTACGAATCCAAAATGGTATAAAATTCCAAAATCTGACATTATTTTGCCCGAGATATGCCAAAAAAAACATCAAAAAAGGTTGACTTTAGAAACGTATCGTTTTTTGGTCAACAACTTTGTTTAACCCATCGATTTTTAAAATGTTTGAATGCCATTTGATGGTTGGGATCCGTACGAATTCAAAAAGGTATAACATTTCAAAATCAGGCAATATTTACCCGAGATATTACAAAAACATCGTCAAAAAAGTTTCATTTTCGAAACGACCACGATTTTTCGAAAAAACTTGATGTAACCCCTTGCCATTTGGCCGATTTGGGGCAAAATTTAGATTTTCATTTTTTTGATGCAAATCGATTGTACTGATCCCTACGAATCCAAAATGGTATAAAATTCCAAAATCTGACATTATTTTGCCCGAGATATACCAAAAAAGCATAAAAAAATGTTTACCTTAGCCAATTGTAATTTGTAATTCATTTTTTCTCTATTTTGGCTAGCTGGTTAAACATTGTTGAATAATTAAAATGTATTCTATTTGTGCTATGCAAATAATTTTTAATTAGTATTCACGCGTTTCTATTTCATTAGCCACCAATTGTTAATCGTTTTCGCTAACAACTGGCGTAATTATTTTGCAATCAAAATTCAATAAAGCGCCAATAAAAGTATCTCAATTGGCACTCATCTTTAATTCAGAGCGTTCCATTTCAGTGCACATAAATTCATTTCTATTTAGTTACAGACGTGTAACGTATTGGCCCTTCAATAGCAATAAAACATGCAAAAATCATTAGAGAGAGATTTTCCAGCACATTAGTGCCAGGTGATCCATTCAAATACAGGGACACCCTAAGCCTGTTGGGAGATTTCTGTACGTGACAATAAATTTCGATTAATCAATCACCTCAACTGTCCAATGTTTGGGTTCGAACCTCATTTTGTAATTACACGTTGAAATTTCATTCGGTTGCAGGACAAACCACAACACACAAACCACTCAATCAGTGGCAAATTCCGTTTGTAAAATGTGGCAAATTACGAACAAATAATAAAAAGTTTAAATTTGAATGTTAATTTCGATTACGTTATCTTTAAAACATGCTAAAAATATATGGAGAATTACAGTAATTTATACAATATATGTATATCATGAGTAACATTCGGAAATCCAGGCTTTTCCAAAACTGAAGGCTTATTATCTGTGAGCATATAATTAGATAAAGCCTACATTTCCTCTTTCAAGGAATTCCCCAGCTCAACATTAAACCGAACCTAAATGGATACCTAAATATAATATTTTAAAGTACTTTGTTTAATTTGGTATAAAGTGCAATTTTCTGGCTACATTTTCCAGTTGCATAGGTAGAACTTGGGCATTCCGTGAAACTTTTGCGACTAGTCCTTTTGGTGCAATAAATTAAATCAAGTTGAGCAGAACAGCCGCCGGCAGTTGGTTCTCACTGGCAAATTGCAATTCACGGATGGCAAATCTGCAATTGAAATGGGGACTCACCGCAGGACGCGTTCGCATTGCATAAATTGCATATTACGACAATTGTCGGCGTTTTATCAGTGATTGCTATTATCTTTTGCTCTTCTTCTTCTTTTTTTCCTATTTGCGCTTTTTCCGACAGAGTATCCTACAGCTACTGTTATTCCGTCGTGGCCAGCTCATGAGGATTTGGCTGGTGTGTTTGTGTGCTCATCGCGGCTTTTAGTCACAAATTGCAGGACAACTCTCGCAGAAGCGAGGACGACGAGGGTGGATCCATAAGTAGAACGTTGAACAACAAGCAGCTGTCTACTTTGACGAGGGCATAGGATTTTCGTTTTTAGATTCAAGGGATAATATATTATTGGCTCGATACTAACCCAAAGAAAATGCTTAAACCATTGAATATGACAAAGTTTTCATGAAGAAACTCGGGGTATAGAGGGGGTTTTGAGGGGGAATAGAGAAAGGTATCGAAGAAATGTAATATTGGTAATCTGGCGTAACTTTCGTAACTTTAGAATTGTGCTTAACAGACCATCTGTCAATATTAATATATTATGAGAAAAGACATAAAATTAACGGCTGGCCAGATCGAATCAATTTGTCAACCTGCTCAAGAATATATATTTAATATATATGCCTGTTACTTAAATGTGCAAAAACCATTTTCAAGTCCAAAACTGATTAGTAAATGAATGACCCTCGTACCACAAGCCACAAGCTCAAAAAGTTTGCCTAGTTCTCATTACGAAGCTAGAGTTTTATATTATATTTGGTGCAATGGGGCCAAACTTTTAAATTCTGTGGTTGGTCTTCGGTTTGTGGCTTAGTCCTGTTGATGTAGTAGTTCAATGTAACTGGGCAACTTCCATGATTCTTATTGCACATGTCGATAAATAAAGCACTATACTTAAGGATTAAGTCGCTTGGGTCAAGAACCCCAAAGCAACACCCCTCAAATTACAGTCCTGGCTGAAGTGAAAATCCGAAAAGGCACAGGCCGCAAAAACAAAAGTAAGTGCGATGCGTCATTTCCGGCCGAGCGGAGGGAGTGGGAGCTTGGGGGTTGCCAAACGTGTTGAATGCCACGGTGCGACCTATGGCATGCCAGGATTAGTATGTTTAACTTTTGGCAACACATTAAGTAGCCACAGACTTTGCAACACTTAATATAACCGAAGATGCAGATTGAGGATGAGGTCCTGAGCTCTCCCTCTCTCGCTGACTTTGATAAGTCACGAGCTGTTGGCGCCTGGTAAATAATTTGGTAACTTATTGCTTGGGTTTCTGGCTTGAATTACACATGCAATCGATATTACTCATTTCTCTGTCTCTCGCCTCCACGTTATAAACATTATACGGCCAGCCCACCTAGACAAGCGAAATCCTTCCAAATATTTGTCCACATTTGTGTATATATATATATATATATATGTTAGTCAGCTTATGTGTCTGTTTGCTTAGTACACAATAGTTGCCCCTAGTTACGCTGGGCCAAACAACAACTATTAAGGGTTCCTGGCTGCGGCGCTTGTCCTGACATTTTATTTCTGGCTTTATTAATCCTTTGTGTATTTTAAACGATGAATTATACGACTCGTCTGTCCCAATTATTCTGCTGATTTATGCTAAGTGCGCGCTGCAAACTCTTGTCATTTTACATACTTTGTTGTTTGCGTTTATGAAACGTTTAAAGTTGAATCGAAATTAACACTATTGATTTAGCTAAGAGATTGAAGCTTATATCATAATAAGGGACAAAGACACTATTGTCTGGGAAATAGATTCTCTTGTTAATCAATGGAAAGTTCCACTCAGTTTTCAATCGACTAAATTCAAGTCTCTAGTAGATTTAATTTAATTTAAAGAAATATACCTTGGCAACGCAACAAGCAACATTTAATGTCTTCGCTCGAAAAATTGAAAAATTACTTATATATTTGATCCACCCAATCAATGACAATTGGGACATCTGGAAACTGCCAACTGACAACAGCAAAGCAAACATTGGAGGATTGAGATAAGACCCGGGGAGACACTAGGGAGACACTGGGCTCTGGTGTCAGCATGAATTTGTTCGAGTTGGAAGCTTGATTTAATTTGGCATCGTTGTCTGGGGGAGCAGACACCAGGTGAGGCAGCTAGCCCAACAAAAGGAAACATAAGTTGAACATATGTTTTCAACAACTTGTTCGACACCTTCTTCCATTTGGAATTTTTGATTATTCGACAACTTTTAAGCTTCATTTTAAATATTCTAGAGGGTATTGGCCTGGTCTATCATTTATATGCAGGCTGTTCATATCACTTTTTGACCCACGTCAAAGTCGATCCAATGGAAAAGGCAAAATTGCAATTAAGTGTAATTCCTAGATTTTTCGTCTATGGGGCTTACCAAAAATTAACTATTATTTCTCTGATGTGATAATCAAGTTCAACTTTCGCCCGTGCATTTTCCTAGCATTTTCCCGTGCATTTTCCCATGACTTAAATGAATACCGAGAAATATTTGTTTGAATAGGTTTCAAGCTGCTCGAATGAAAACCATACAATAGTTTTCCACGCATTTTCTGACCTTAACAGTTGCGTATTTATTTATTTTTTTATCAAGAAATTTTGAAAATAGGTTTGCGATTCTTTGAACTTTGGCTTTCGCTCTTTCAATCTTTGCCCCAATTTCCAGCAGCGGGTGAATTTGCAAAAAATTTCATTCTCAAAAGAATTTTCAGAACAATTTTCTACACAACCATTTTCCAACCATGTGGAATTTTCCGAAACCTCACCTTAGCGTACTTAAAGATTACATATAATGTTTTTATATTTCGATGCATAGGCATATTAGCAGGTGTATATAGAAACAATTAATACTCGAGTGTGTGAGCTTTGACACCTACCTGTTGTTCCATTTTCTGATTCCGGCTGCTAATTGCAGACATTTTGACTTGGGCTTTGCTGCAGTTCAACCGATTGAATTGTTGTTTTTAGACAAGTTTATTATTTTTGTTGATCCTGTTTAACACACAGTTAGATATTGCCTATCGTTATTAAGGCATATGTACCGTTACCGCAAGTTAGTTAGTTAGTTTCTATCATCTAACTATGCAGATCAGATGGCAAAATGAAATTAGATGTATTTAACAATATTCAATGCAAGCAAATGTGCAAGGTACTTGTGAATGTGACGCATGTATGAATGTGCATGCATGTATTTGTGTGTGTATATACTCCGTTATGTGCTCAACATGCATGCATGCATATGCCCATATGTGTGTGTGTGTGTGTGTATGCGCGCGACAGCTGCCGTGTAATGTTTGTTGAAAAGGAAATTTATTTGAAAGCAAATGAATGCAGCAAAACAAAACCCGAAAACGAAGGCGCAGAACTCGCGTCTGGGTGAATGAATGCCGCAAGCCAGCTCGAGGCGTAGAGGGACTGCGGGCAACAGCGACAACAACAAGTTAGAGTGCTCTAGTTGGGAGTGCCCGACTAGCAGATACCCTGTACTCAGCGCACAGCTGTCATTGCAAACATACAAAGTTCCTTCTACACACAGAAAATACTTCCTTAGTTACTCAAAAGGGAAATATTCTAAAGAACATGCATACAAATGTTGGTGTGTCTACCTCTCTGAAAGCTCAGAGCTATGTTAAACAGAATTACTTTCAAAATATATATGTATGTATGTATGGCTACTATAGAAATTTCAAATCTCGAACACGAGATCGACACAGTTATACAGACGGACGGGCGGACGAACTGCTGATGCCCTCTCCTGCCTTCTACGTAGATTTGCACAAAATCATTATACCCTTTTCAGCCTATTTTCAATGGGTAAACAATCATCTGCACACCTGGTTGTCTGGCACTGTTGTTGTTTCGTGTATAGTTGCAGTTTTAATAGTTGTCGTTGTCGTTGCTGTATTCTTTTGTAAATATGTAGCACACGCGACTACAAATCTATATGTGTTTGTTCATATGTATATACACAAACATATGTAGCTAATACTAACACTAATACAGAAGAACAGTAACCGGCAGTTGTGGTTCGGCGTGCGATCAAATTATGTTCGGTTTGTTGTGGTCGCGCGACGAATCGAAATGAGTTTTAATTTGACTTTGGCACTAGTCGCATAATTTATAAACATTTCTATGGCAACTGTTCAATTGGAATTCATTTTGCACTATTTCACAAGACGTTGCAAAAATACATCTGTACATACATATGTGTGTGTCTCAGTATGTAAGTGTGTGCACACACATTCGAAGCGATAATTTTTGGCGCGTCTTTTGCTCTGGCAACGCGACGAATTCACCGACAGCAAACCACACGCGACCGTTTCAAAACAACAACTGACGTACCGGACCAGCGGTCGCGGGCCACACCAGCTGCACTAGCGATTGGAATGTTCCGGCAATGAAACGAGAAGCAGAGCCGAGCGCCGCGACAGGACTTCGCGACAACATCCACCGTCGTGCACTGAATGGAGGATGAGCAAGAGAGTTCAGTAGCTCTCTCTCCTCTCTTAGTCAGCACTCCAGTTCTCGCATTTCCCTTACTCTTGCCCGTTACCCACAACAGATTGGCTGCGGCCTGGCAGATGTGCATTGCTTCCCATTCAACGTTCGAGGGAAGTGTGGAATTTGTATGTGTGAATGCATGTACGTGCATATGTATAACATTTCGCATATATATGCATGTAAAGTAAGTGTCTGATGGCTATAATCATGGCTTTCATAGTATAAAAGCTGGTTACTTCACTTGGGCTGCATTTGAACATTTGCGCACCATAAACGTCTAGATTTCGAGTCGTACAGGATTACCCATTTACGTATCCCGAGCGTAGACTTTGAACTTCCAAGTATTTGCATACTACAGGGTATTGAGAAAATGTTCTGGTCTCCGAGGAAGTATAATTTGAATGGTATGAATTTGTATCAGAATTTATACTGATACTTTATCTGATACTCCCAAATTGAACGTATGCTGTTTGGAAAGATTTTACTTCCGGTCAAAATAAAATAGAAAAATACAAATTTCATATTTTTTTTCATTCTTTTTTTTATAAAATAATATACTTAAGATCTTACTTTTTTTGGGAGATTGAGGTAAACTTTTAAAATGAATTTTCCAAGTTTAGCGGACTTTTAAGCCTTTTTAAACTGAGCCTCTTCTATAGTTTTAGTAAAGCTTTACCGATTTTAGTACTTAATACGGAACTATTATTACTTTTAGCTACATTAATATCGAAATTTTGGGCTAAAAAATGAAGAAAAGTATGAAAAAATTCTTTTAAAGGATTATCACATGGCCGTTCCTTTGACAGCTATATGATACTTATAACGAATTGATATTGATTTATTATAATTTTTTATATATTTACGGAGCATAGGAACATTGGTGAATCCCAATTTGTTTAAGACATTTTAGATATATCTATATGAATCAGGTGCTAATCTGTTAGCCGGACTTTTACTGAATAAAACTGAATAAAAATCTGTTTAAAAAAACAACAGGTAATTATAACAGATTCAATAACTGTTAGGATTCAACCAATCTGGCTTAGATTTGTTGAATAAATAATATAAATAATAATATATATATTACAAAACTGCAGAACAATTACTAAAAGCAAATGAAATCAAATGTAAATTCATGTTTTATTTTTGTTTATTATAAGTAAGAATAACTTAATTATTTATTTGGTAAACAAATAAATGGATCCATATCATGTCAAGCATAAATTCATTTGCAGTTTTCTTGTCATTTTCAGTTTGCCTATAAGTATTTTTCAGGTGTAGAGACTCCCAATTTCATTGAGCTTCAAGTTCGATGAATAAAGTGAAATGAAAATATATGAGATATCCTAGAAGAATCTGTACTTTTTCTTCGTTTCGCTCTCGGACGGTGTCGGCTGCTGTTGGGCATCCAATTGGCGCTTGGGCATCAATGGAGGCGGGCTTTCCCTTGTGATATAGGCTGGCGATAGGGGGCGTGGCGCGCGCAATATCGATGTCAGCGGTGGCGGCACCGGGCTAGCACTGGAGGCAGCCGCTCCGTTGGCCGGCGTCTCGCGACCATCCTCCTCAATGGGACCCAGGCGCGAGCCGTGCACCGAAGCCAGCTCCGATGGGGTCTTCACCTGGGAGCCGAACTCGTCGCCAAACTCGCTGGCCATGCCCATGCCGATGGTGGCGCCGACCTTGGCGCTGGCGCGCTTGAAGTGATCGCTCAGCTTTATCTGCACCACGTTGATGAACATGGATGTCAGGGCGAGGCCAAATATTAGGTAGATCATGCTGACCATCACGTAGAACGGATTGCCCGGCACCAGGTCGCCAAAGCCAATCGTGGACATCGAGATGAACACAAAGTAGAAGGCGTCCAAAAAAGACCAGCTCGTCTCAATGAATGTGTAGCCAACGCTGCCCAACAGGATGTAGGCAATGAGCAACATGGTGGCCACCGAAACTGGCAAATTGAACTCGTCGTCCACCTCGTAGGTTTCGGGATACGGAGATGTCGGCGTCTCCGGGTGCGAGGTGCCCAGCGACTTGCCAGCCTCAGCATCGCCGTCCGCCTGCGATTCCGCTTCGGCCGGCGCGTCAGACATGCCGAAGAACATGCTGGGCCGCCGGATAGCCATGTCGTAGACCGTGTTAAATCCGGTCATGGCATCCCGCACCTGCTGCTGCTTCCGGATTTGGCGACAGGAGCGAGTGTAGTAGACGCGCCTCACATACGCCCACAGGAACTTGACACAGCGCGTGAACAGTTTGCCCAAATCCGCCAGCACAATCAGGAACATCGGAATGCCAATGATGGCATAGATGATAGTCAACGACCTTCCCACAGTTGTCTTCGGTGTTATGTGACCGTAACCTTGAGGATGAGACAGTAAATCGATTAATCTCGTCATGCAATCGATGAATAATTGTATTTAGGAGAAAAAAAGATTACTTCCTATATATTATACTATTGTCTTAAGACGGAGTGTAAATAAATAAAATGTAAAAAAAAATATATATATAATAATATTATATTTTTTAATAAAGATTACTAGCAACACTACCCGGCATTGCCCGGGCCAGTCATTTTAACTAAATGGAAAATATGAACAAATAGATAAATATGCACGTTCTACCATTATCCCTGAATGTCACTCAGAAATTGGTAAATAATGTTTTTAAAATAAAAAATTTGGTGAGAAAGGAGTTTCATTTGCTTTAAATTTTTAACAGCTTTAAACTGTTAAGCTCATTTTTAACTTTTAGCCCAGTCACGTGGATTTTGCGAAAAGCGTGAAACATATTTGCAATTAATTATCATAAAGATCTTCTTTCAAGCCGAATCGCATGTTAGGCATCAAAAAGTCGTATATATTGAACTTTTTAGCCAGTAAGGTGGATTTCCCGAAAAGTGTGAAACATATTTGAAATGAATTATCTTAAATATGTTCTCTTAAGCCGGATCGGAAGAAAGTCATATGACATCCACCGAGTATCCACCGATTTTCCACACTTATGGATGGAAGCTTTCCAAACACGCAAGTATAGCAATTGTCATTTTGTTAGTCAGGAAAAACAGTTTTATAACGAAAGAAATAACAAGTAGAACATCAGATCTAAGGAAACAAAGAAAATCCTAGATTTAAAGCCACAGTTGGTCCGAATAATCGATGGACTTCCGAATTATCGATCGAGTTCCCTTTGGGTTTTACCTATGGTTGTGATGACGGTCCAACAATATATGAAGCAGTTGACAAAGTTGAATGACTTTTGCCCTGGATATCGGCGCAGACCGAGCTCTGCCAGCGTGTTGAGCTCATCCTCGAAATTGCGCAGCTTCTGGCGCGCCAAGGACTTCCAGTCATCCTCTCTGGCAAAACGGGTGAAAGTATTCAAAATCAAAACTCCACTCAACTCGGTTGACAGATGACAATAAACTACCTCATGTTGTGACTGACTGCCCACAGATTGTCGATGAAGTCTCGCTTCACCTTGCGCACCTCGCACTTGTAGATGTCCTCCGACATGCCCTCCGTGTAGCGGAACAGCAGTCCGCCAAAGCCGAGCAGCAGGATCAGCAATATGATGTGGGCCACGCACTCGTTCCGCAACCGTCGCATCTCGACCATGCGCACGGGATAGTCGAGCTTGAGGCGCCGCCACTCGTGGACTGCCTCCAAGCGCAGGCGCACCAGAAATGCCCTCGACATGAAGCTATTTATTTCACCTGGGTCTGATCTTTCCAATGGGATCACAGATCTTGTTGCCCCGACACGCTGTTTGCCCCTAAAAAGGTTGCCCAGCCGCTTTAGGAGTGAGGGTTTCTCAATTTCCGTGCAAGTTGGATACACTTCCGTTTCGGTGTCCAGTGTCTGAGGCACTGCATCCACGGGCTGTGGCTCCTGTTTCTGCGGCCGCTCCAGGCTGGCTGTGCGCTTTGCCCTCACTGGTCGCTCCAGGCTTGAGCTGCGCTTGGCTTCCGGCTTGACAGCCTGCTCCATTTCGGGCACCTTTAGGCTGTTGCTGCGCCTCACTTTGTCCACCGAGGAGGTGCCCAGACTTTTGATCAGCGCCGCCTCCGCAGCTGCCGCTCTTTCGGCTGCCTCCACATAGGCTCTGCGCAGCTCCGTGCGCTGCTCCTCCTCACTGAGCTTCACCTTGACGGGCTGCTCGACCGCAGACTCGCCAACCTCCACATATTCCGATTTGCGGCTGGATTGCTCTGCCTCTGCCTCTGCCACTGCCTGTCGCTGCTCGGGCGTCTTGGAGCGCCTCTGGGGACGCACCGGCGACAAGGAATTGTTGCGACTGACCGAGTGACGATTGGTCGGCGGCGGCGGCGGGGGTGGTGCTCCACGAATGGGCACAGCTACATAGCCTTGCAGCGGTGGAGTTGCCTTCTTGACTTTGGAGTGCTTCTCCTCGGTCGTGTCCGCATCGGAGGAACTGAACTGAGTGGACGACTCCTCGTAGGCGCTGCTGCGATTGCGCAAACGCACCGAAGGCGCCTCGTGGCGCTGCAGGCGCAGGCTCTGCACCAGTCGGCGGCGCTCCTCCTCATCCTGCGGCAGCTGGAAGCCGTCGCTGATCTTGCGGTAGTTTTGCAGCAGCCGTTTGCGCTCCTCGTGGTCCAGCTGCTGGCGATGACGCACCTTGTGCTCCCTCCTCTCGCGCTCGAACAGCCGCTTCTCCGTCTCGAAGCGCCGTCGCTCCTCCTCGAAGCGCAGCATATTCTGCTCCAGCCGGCTGAGCGTATCGTCGCCCCGCCTCTGCTGAGCCGTGTACTGTGCCTGCGACTGCGAGCTGCCCGTCAGCTCGCTCTCGCTGGACTCGTCCTTGTGCCGCGGCGAGGACAGGCTGCGCTGGTGCTTGATCAGCTGTTGGGCATCGGGAATGCTCAGTTTCTCGGCCTCCCGCGGCTGACTCTGGCTGCGCGCTGCGACGCCCGCGAAGTTCTTGTCCCGTCTTCGCAAGATTTTGCTCTCGTGGGCGGACATTACGCCGGCGGGCGGACGAATCTGCATGGACACGTGCTGTGCCGACGCTGCCTCATCAGGATCCTCCCGTTGGTGCTCTGAGTGCGTCCTGCTGGCGTCTGGCGTCTGCTCACGCTGACTGCGGGCCACGCGGCGGCGGTGTCGCATCTGCCTGGAAGATGTCCCAGCTCCCTGATTCCCCGCATTTTCCATGGCGCATAAATTGTGCTTATTCTCAGAGTTTACTTTAACGTTCGTCTCTCTCTCTCTCACTCTCTCTCTCTCTCTCTCTATCTCACTCTATCTCTCTTCAGCTCATTGGCTCTATTTTTAACACACGTTCATATTTGTATTTCAATTGCCCAAATGGAAAATTATTTCTATACGTAATTATATCACTTTCGCGTGCAATTTCTTTTTATAGCGCTCGACCAGGCGTGGAAAATGTAATAAGAGGGGCGGCTCCTATATCGTCCCAATATCTCAATCTACATAATTCACAATCATATTCAGACTTTCATATTTCTGTTCACTCCACTTATCATATATATATATATATGTATTTATATATACACTTAAGTATATTTATATTTCAGATATATATATTCTGAAATAAATAAATGTATTCGAGAGCACGTCGCGCTTTTATCGTATTCACTGCTCGCTGCGACGTCGTCTGGTTTTCAACTGCTCCGCACGAAAATATTCAAAAATGTTGTATACATTTTTTGAAAAATACTTATCAAAACCGAACAGCTGTTTTTCCCTCTACAGGTCGCTGTCGGTTTCTATGCTCGTGTCCACCACTGTTCGATTTCCATATAACTGTTAATTTCGCAATCGAAAATCTTTACTTCTTATTTAATTATATGTTGTCTAGCTTATTTAAGCAGCAGCGATTTGCATAGTCAACATTTGGAACAGCAAACGCGTGTTCAGGCTGTGCACAATTTTCTTGCCACGACTGTTGAAAAGCTCGAAAAGCTCTCGTCATCTGTTGCCGTCAAAATGTGCTTCACAGAACGCATTTAAATTTAATATATAAATATGAATTAGTATAACATCACAGGTGATATTTTTAATTATTTAAATTTATAATAAATTGTCAATTATTTAATTATAATTATTAATTTTTTGATAATTATTTCCAGTATGAAAAGCCGAATGAGATATTCTAAGATTTTCTATTGCAAACTCAAGCTTATAGCAAAAACAAGTTATTGCTTCTTTTTAAAAAATCTTTAATTTATATAATTGTTTTGATGTTGTCATCAAGTATCTGTAATTTACAGGAAGCATATCAATTATAAGCTCGATTATAATAATTACACCTAATTATTTATTGTTTGAGTTTTATTGTATTTTATTTTCAAAAAGTAATTTTCAGTTTTAAAGTTTTTTTTTGATTACTCAGGTATAGTATAACTCAAAATATATCATTGCCACAGATTTTTGTCCTTAAGGAATGTTCAAAACATGGCAAGGATAATATAAAACGATGCAAGATGTTATATTTGCCTGATAATATATATTGATCTATCCTACATTCCATAGAGCTATTTATTTACAGGTAACAGGGTTACGTCGGGTATTCATATTCTTAAGCGGAATACCCTGTAACTAATTGTATAGCCTTCGGTAGATGAGTTCAGCTTGATAGCGTGACCACTAAGAAAGATAATAGAATTATACTGGCAAATGAACTTCATATATCTGAGCTATTAAGCTATTTTTGTTTTTTTAGGCATATATTACAAAGAAATTTTTATCCTATGATTACAAAATAGGAATACGTTAGGAAAATAGAGAATATGTAATTGCTGAATTCGGTCGTGACATCTTGGAAAAAAACGAACTTATTTTCGAGCGGTTTTTCCCATAGAGATATTTGATATAGGAGTCCGATGTTGATCAGTTTTTGTTTGTATGTTGGGATTATAGTAAAGCTCGTCAATGTCAACTTTGGTCAAGATATCTTGACTTCGCTGTTGATTCTTCTAAATTATAATACCCTCTATAAGAATATAAAAAGGATATCGACTCCGTATCAGGATTTAAAAGGAACTCTTTAAACAACAAATTACTGAAAGGGTGAGCTTTAAATGCATTTTTATCTGTTAGCCACGAATAGATCAAAAATGTCAAATTCGTTTCAAATAAGATAATAATAAGATTTAAATATATATATTGCGAAGTTTAATTGGGGCCCTTTTTCTTTTTTGTTTTCAAATAAGTCTTGTATTTTTATTAACGCTCTCAATTGATATTTCCTTCCGCCTTCCGCCTTCCGCTTGCTCTGCTGTTCGTGACTTGTGGCTCATAAATGTTTTGTTTAAATTAAATAAAATCACACTCAATCTGAAGGCATACTGAATTGCCTGCGTACTAAGTCTGTGAATGGAAAATTCGAATGAAAATTCAATTATAATTCCTTTTCGATATTCGCGATCAACATTTGTGTGACGCCAGCCCAGCTAAAGCGTACGTAAATATTTTGGCACCACATTCCGCCGAATGGATTTCCACAAGAATCCCATGTCCAATCAATTCGGCCACATACTTCAGCTGTGTGTGTGTGTGTGTGTGTGTGTGTGCTTAAATTGGCACACACTTGATAGACGTGCTCCACCAACAACACACGTGGCGTATGCGTAATGCTTTCCAGTTGATGACGGGTCTAGTTCGCAATAAACGCCTGCCTATGTTTATTTTGATTGATCGGGCTTTTTATTCAGGAATTAAATTCATATTTGATCATGCTCAATAATTGTTAACATATCTTCATGCCCTTCAGGTGAGGACTTGACTTTGGATATTTAACAAAAGACGGACGTCAAAATAGATTTGATTAAGTGAAAGCAATTCGTGAGAATTTCTTCTGTTTGTCTGTTGCTAAATTTGCTTTTAAAATCTTTTATTAAGAACGATGACAATTTTCCAAAAATTTTAGACAACTTAATATTCGTCTGCGCACACACGAACCTAAGTGTATTTATATATATATATATATATATACATATATAATCATATATTATCTCGCATGCAAATGTTTCGTTTTTTTCTGTTCTATATAAATAACACACACACACGCACACACACACATATGCGAGGTACTTTCGCCAGCAAAAGAAAAACATCGGAAACTATTTCCATTTTTTTGTGTCACATACTTTTCAAGAAAATGTTGACAAGTTCTTTAAAATAAGTATTTACAGCAGATATATATATTTGTGTGACTAAATATAAAATTCGTGACAAATTGATAATTTCATTTGTCCGGCGTTTCTTATATGAACAATTTGTTCGGGTCGGGGCAAATATCTAAATTCGAAACTCACCGATTGTCGTGTAAATGGTGCAGCTGTAGACCATGGCATTCCAGAAGGACCACGGATTCTTTTTGATCGCATCCTCCTCCTGCGTCAAGCCGGACCTCAGCAGAGTCTCAACAATTTCCTTATGATCATTCATTATCCGAAGCACGTCGCTGTCAAAAACCGTGTCGGGCAACTATCGAAATCGATTATCATTTTTAGCTGTCGTAATATCTTTAGAGCTATTTTTTTTACCTACCGTACGTGCAGCTGGATTTTCCGTCAGATCTCGCAGTTCTTTGAAGAACATTTTTTGTTGATATTGCAGGTTCTTTATTTCTAGGGCAGCGGGCCGAACTGTTAAGGAGATAAGTTCCCAGTTATAAATTACATGTGCTTGATTTGCTTTACGAACATAAGGTATATTGACTTTTGCGGAATTCCCTTAAAGATCCAATCAAATATTGAACATATATGTATTTACATAGCTCCTAGTCAAAGTTGTTAGGGTTAAAATTGAAAAGCTGTTTTCACACGGCGTCTAGAGTATTGCACAGTCGTGTGCATCCGACTGCAACGTTTTTGTTTATTTTTGAACGAGTTTCGAAATTGGAATTTGAATCAAATAATTGACGTTTTGGCTGCTCACGCTAAACTAAAGTGATTTCTATGCATGTTTTTTAATGGAAATATAATAAATAAATATTAATAAAATTAATTTGTTTTATTTTTTTTTTTTTAATTCAATTTGTTGAAAGGGTTAGTCTTACGAAAAGTATTTTTTGATGCAATTCTTGAACATCAACAGACTTTCGTTTTATATTTCGATTTCCAAATTGTTTGATCCGCTTTTATGCAAAGTTATATAAACAAATTTGTTTTTCATAGTGCAACTAGTTTGCATAGAAACTGACAGATAAACCGACGAAAATTACTTAATCGGTTGAATATATATCGAGTCGGCTGACAAAGCTGATCAAGAATACATTAAATATCTTGTACGAAGTCGGTAATCCCTTATAAAATGCTTAATTAAATTCATGATAAAGTTATATTACCCTTTTTATAAAATGCACATAAAATGAGTGCAGCTCGTAGAATTTAATTATTTTTAAATTTAAGTATTAATTGCTTTGACAAAGTAAATCATTTTCATCATTAGGTTTCTTATTTAAATAAGATACTTTTCGCTTATAATGTCTATAATTAATTACGTTAAATTATTAATCTATATATCTTTATATATATATACTTATATAAACAAGTTTCTCCTGTCTGACTGACTGAGGATCAAAGCTCACACAAAGATATCTAAAACTCTCTCAAGATTTGCTGACTTGCAGTCGTTGTTTTACAGCTAGAATCTCCAAGTTAGTTAGAATTATTCTTCTTTAAAGATCTTTAACGACATTTAATGTTTACATGCTACAGTTTGTAAGTCACTGCTTAGGCGTTACAGTCTTAGAGTCACCAGCCCACATATAAGACTCTTTTCGACTGATTAAATTGCAAGCGGCGGAAAGGTTCTTCTACTAATCAGTAAAGCCAGAGTTAAGCGAATTTAAATTTGAGAGAAAACGAGAAAGTGTGGATATCTTCAGCACGCCGAAGATTGAATACCCTTTGTAGAAATTAAACCTTTGCAGATATGTGAGTGAAGCTCATAAATGCCGAGTTTTTTTGAAAATATCTTGGAAAACAGAATATGTTGGCATAGAGGAAACGACTATTCGACCGATTGTTCCTATGGCAGCTATATCACATATGATGAAAGCCCGATGCTGAGAGGATTCTGTATGTTTGAAAGTCTTGGCTATATCAACTCGATTGTTGATGCTGATCTACACTTAGATAGATACTTTATGGGGTTCGGAGAAGTCTTCTTCTATGGGTTACACATTAAATGAAAATAGCATATCACCCGCGGCAAGGGTATGAAAAAGCTTAGAAAGGCCTGCACCAGCACCGGAACGTGTGTTAAGCACATGTCCAAGTGTAAATTGATTAAATGTAATTTCGAAAGCAGTTTCCATTTTCCAATCGTCAGCTGCAATTAGCTGAGCTGCTGCTGTTCAAATTAATCATCTTCCTTGTCGACTGTCGATTGTTTATGCCTGGGGGCCATTTGCTGTGATTCATTGATTTATTCTCCATACGATCAGCCGCTTCTTTGACTAAATTGTGCTGTGTATTGTCAGAAGACATCGAATTCGATCGGAAAAGCATTTAACGAGCCAACATGATGCTGTGCAGGTATATGGTATTTGTGTATTTAGCCTTTGGTTGGGTTCAACTGTTCTCAAAACAATTGCCGAAGTGCTTGATAAGCAAACAAATCATCTGCAAGATTGTTTATACGGACGGGCGCGAGTGCCGTGCCTCATCCACGGATAGCTGCTAAATTATATTGCTCTATTGATCTATCGAAAATCGGATACGGGTTAGCTACACATTCTCCTAAAGCTACAATTTCTCCTTTCGCCCTCCACTTACCTTCGACAGTGCGAAAGAGCACGGCGCCGCCAACGCTATAGAGGGCCAGGACTATCAAGAGGAACATGTGGGTGAACCATTGTCTGGACCACTTGCTGAACTTGTTGTACATGGCAAAGGTGAACTTCTCGCCGAAGCTCATGCCCGACTTGGTGAGATCAAGGAAGCCCTCGTAGCCTTTTGTCATAAAGTTGCCAGCTCCAAATGGATTGGCCACTGGCGGCCAATAGGGACCCTGGTTGCCAGTGCCCGTGTAGTTTGTCTGTGAGGTGAATGGCGGCTGGGGCTGTGCACTGGGCGGCATGGATGACCCGACACCCATTGCCGAGCCGCCGTAATTGTTGTATATGTTATGGATATTGATGCGCGGCGGCCTATTCGAGCGACGCGAAGGCGGCGGCGTGCTGGGAGTTGGAGTTGGGTTCTGCATCTTGAATCTTGATCTATATTTCTATCTATATTCTATATACTTGTATTATTTTTAATTCTATAAGCACAAGTTTTTGCCACCACGTCCACTTCAACCGCGTCGCGATCTTTGGCGCCGTACGCTTCTGCTGCGGATCGCTTCCGTCCGCCTCGTTCTTGATTTAGACTCAAACTAAGGCAAGCGTATTCACAACATTATTGTCGCTCTGCTCTGCCCGCCGCGAATCTCGTTTCGGCAATGTGCACGAGCGAGCACTGTGACGACATCGGCATCCATGAGGTCACCATTCGACCAGTCGACCATTCGACCATGTTGCTGGTCTTTTGACGCGACGACTCTCGCTGAGCTGGTGGCTCGAGCAGGGCAGAGGCAGCTAATGCCCGATGACCGATCTCCTAATGATGTTGGCTATCGTCAGTTCTTGACAGCAGCGAACACGCAGAAGACGGATTAAGCCAAGTTACCAGGCTACCCAAGAGTTGGCAAAAGAAACTTGGGTACACGAGTTCGGTTCGAATGGTAGACAATTATAATTGTTAAGTTAACTGAAGCCAAGTCTCGATGAATCATTTTTATATTATTTAAATAATTCCCAGAACCTAATGCGTAAATACTGCCTACCATATGTATATACATACTATATACATACATACATACATAGATTATACATACATAATATATAAGGCAACTACAAATTGTTATTTATACAAATGTTTTCGCATTTATTCAACGCTTGACACTAATGAATTCCAATTTTTTTTTCGAAATATTTTGCGTTCTTTCTTTAAAAAAAAAAAAACAAAATAAATAAATATTCTACCAACCAGAATCAACCGAGTCGAATGCCAAAATCATTGAACGCACTGCAACTTGGCGTCGTTGTCCATGTCCAATACTTTTTGCAATCCGATAAGACATCAAGGCATTTTATGCAGTCATACGAAAATATTATGAAAACTGTAATAACAGCTCGCAAACAGTTTTTAAACAATGTGTGATTCGTACGTTTTTTGGATATTGAAAGTGGGCAAAAAAAGGAGGCCCGTAAAGTTTATATGGTACATAATCTCGTTCTGCATAAATAGCCGATTTGTGATTTAGTTATGTCCTTGATCTCAGAAACTATAAGAGCTGCACACTTCAAATTTTTACCAAAATCGATAATAATCGATTTTCTTAATAGGTTCTAGAGTATAAAAATCTGTAGAGTTAGAAACGCCAAAAATAACTAGACTGTCGCATAGATCTAGATTATGAAACCTTTTGGATAACTATCCACTGTTCTAGCAAAAATAAAAAAATACTTATGCGTTTATATACATATCACATTCTAATAATGACCACATTTCATTTCAAAACGATTGTAAGCACCGAAGTTATTCAAGACTAAATTAAGCATTATTTCCGGCTAAAGGAAGAAGCACTTTTGGCATTTAATTTTTATAATCTGTTATAACTCTCGTTTTGGCCTACTATTAATAAATAAATAAAATAAAGAATAAACTAAGTATAATTACCGGCTAATGGAAGAAGCACAGGCGCAGTTCGGCGCTAGGCTCTTATTTATTTTGTAATATACTCTACGACCCAATAAAGCATATTAATGATTATCAAGTCGTTGTGTCCTTATTTAGTAAGAGGCTTCTCGTGTGTTGGGTAAAAAATATAAGCTAAAGACGTCTCCACGTCCTTCTTAGAATCAAGCTGGACACGCCCAAGAGATCCTTGATCGATTCTTAGAAACTTACTTAATAAGTTAAACAGATCATTTTTCGGTTTGGTTAACATTCAAGTGTTTTTCTTTTTTTATTGTATATGTTGGAATATTGCCACGCGAGCGTACAGGTTAATTAAAATTTATTGTATGCATATATATCTGAAACTTGTAAGTAAGAATTATGTATCGTAAACAAGTATATATGTATATATATGCGATGAATATGTCATAAATATATGTATATGTAATTTTCACAAACTTGAACAGTTTACATGAACAACTCGTCTCATACAGATCCCAACAACAATTCGCAATTACAATAAATGTTGCTATGAAAATAATTGATTAAATGCTGCTATAGATAAGTATATATAAGAGTTATGAAAACTGTTCCTGTTCGAAAGCTCAGAGTTGTCTAGCATAGGTTTGTCTATATAAGTATTCGGTCGCTTACATTAGAAAGAATATCAATTTTACAACAAATCAAATGTATCGAATATCATAAAAGAATTATTATTATTTGTAAAGTTTACTCACAGTCCTTACAAGTTATTATTTTAGTGTTGTAGTTTTTATTATTTTATAAGATTTTGACTTGCACAAACACAAATTAAACTCAAACTATGATACTGTTAAGCCATAAACTAATCATTTTGAAGATCGATCGAAGACGCAACTCGTTTCTTTGGATGGGCCTCAAACAGCCCATAGATACGCCCACAAGTTAGTTATATATATTTACTCATTAATATATATATTTTTTTGTTTTTGTTTCTCTTTTTTTGTTTTGTTTTTTCTTTTTTGTAATTATGTTAGGGATTTGTTGTTAACTTCGGGTTCGGAATCAATTACACTAGAGAGCATCACTAGACTAAAGCACTACGAAAACAGAGCAGGTACAGTACTATGTCAATTCTGTTAGTTAACAGCACTGTGTCAAATATGTAAGTTAACAGTTTCGAATAACAGCGTCTACTTGAGCGCCTCTTTCACACGCTGCTCCCACTCTGCCCGCCGCTGATGGATACCCTTGAACTCTCCCACTGTTGCGGATCGCTCAACTTGCTTTGTGGGCGTGGCACCTGGCTCCGATGTTGCTGTTGCTGCTGCATCGGCAGCTGTTGCTGTTGTGGCTGCAACTGTTGGTGCTGTTGCTGTTGCCGGTTTCAGCTGCAGTGAGTAGCGCTCGTTGGTCGGCTTCGCGCTGTTGTTGTTGTTGTTGTTGCTTTTGTTGTTGTTATGAACTGTGGCATTGCGCGCATTGGTGACCTTTATGGGCGGCAGATTGGACAACTTCTGCTGGGCAGGCTGAACATTATTGTTGAGATTTCGGAAATCAGCCACAGAGCTGCGATTGTTGGTGCTGGGCTGGGCGTGAGAATGGCCATGGGCATGGGCGTGGCTTTGGGAGTGGGAGTTGGAGTTAGAGTTGGACTGTGCATTGTGCTTTGCCGGCTCATTGCTGGCCGTCAGCTTGTCGAGCTTCTCCTCGCTGTTCGACTGATTCTCCTTGTCGCTATCAACGCTCTGGCTGCCATTAGTTATCTTCTTGTGGTTGGCCACTGCGACCTGGGCCAGGGCCACAACATCGTCGTCCTTCACCTTGAGCGAGCGACGTGCAAATACTTTCATCAGCTCTGGCGTAGCGTCCTCCTGCCCGGAAGATTTCTCAATTGCGTTGCCATTGCCATTGCAGTTGCCGTTGCCATTGCCACTGGCACTAGCGCTGGGAAACGATTTCTTGCGAAGCACTACAACATTCGCGCTCGGATGCCCATTGTTGGCATCCGGGCCAGAGGGCGTGAGTGGGCTGCTGGGTGCAGTTGAGCCAGGCGATGGCGTTGTCTCCGGCTTGCGCTGCAGCTCCTCATTAATGGACTTCTTGCGCTCGTAGCGCATCTCGGCCAGCTTACGTTCCGCTTGGCACTTCTCCTCATTGAGGAACAGCCGCTTGCGCTCCTCCAGCGAAAGGCGATTGACGCTAGCCTTGTCATGGCCGCTGGCTGGCTCCACCGACTCCACGGTCCGCGAGCTGCCACTCTTTGGTGTGTTGGGCGTGGTCACAGGCGAGGCAGCGACGAGCACCTCGATGCTGCTCCCGCCACTGCAGCTGCTGCCGCTGCTGCCGCTGCTGACATAGCTGGATCGCAAGCTGTTGGCACTGACGGCCCGCTGCTGCTTGGCCAGGACCTCGGCTGGTTGGCTAATACTGTGCGTCTGCAAGGGACTTGTGGCACTTGGTGGCTTCTGGGAGCGCTCAACAATCTGTATGCTGGCCGCACTCTCTCCGCTGAGACGGCGCATGGTCAGATCATCGCTGCTTTGACTGCGCTCCGCCGGCGAGGCAGTTGGCTTCACGTTCTTGGCCAGCACCAGGTGATTGGTTTTATTGTGAATGCGCGCCTGGTCAACGCGGTTCAGCTGTATCTTCATAAACTCCGGCTGACCCGTTCCACTGACAGACTGGCCACCTTTGCTTGGCGTGCTTGGGGGGCTGTTGGATAGCTTGGCGCTTTTGGCCAGCGGGCTGGCGGTGGCTGCATCCTTGTTGGGCGAACCAATCGCGATGGTTGTGGCCTGCTGCTTTAGTTCAAGGACCTTTGGTCGCTGCGGAGCCTGCTGCTGTACCGGGCCTAGATGCTCGCCAACCGTGCCGGATTTGCGCAGCACACTAACCATCGGTGACTTGGCGATCAGGTCGTTGTTCTGATCAGGAGGACCTGGGTTGGGCACCAGCTGCGCCGAGTTTCGTTGCGGTTGCGTGGAGACTACCTTGGTCGGTAGACCTTGTAACTTTCCGGTGGATTCGGCACGGGCTTGCAGCTGCTTGTTGTTGTTGTCGTAAATCTCAAATCCCAACGAGGCGCACTTGGCGCCTGGTGACATTGGCGAGCGTGGAGACTGGGGGGATCGCTGCTGTTTGTAGTAGGAGGGCGGCACACGGAAGCTAATCGATAGATCCGGCAGACTAGGCATGTTGCTGTGCATGGACGCTGATTCGGTCACAACGTCGCGTTCTTCCTGATAGTTTCGGAAGCTGCGCGACTTCTCGACAGTCTTGCGCTGCTTCTCCTCGTAGTACAGCGGCGAGGGCTCATCCGTGCTGGTCTCCAGCGAGTTCGAGGAGCTCGAGTGCTGGCCCATCGAGTCGCTGGAACGCGACAGCTTCTGCTGAAACGCGCTGAGCCCCACGATCCGGGGCTTGCGCTCAAAGTGGCCAGTCGGCGACATCAGCGATGGCTCCGTCTTGATCTGTGCCTGCTCCCGCACCAGCGCTGTCGACTGGAAGGTATCGTTGCCGCGCGAGCTCTTCGACAGCAGATTGGTTATGTCGCTGTCGTGGTTCAGCGGCTTGTCCAGAGCAGCGCCCAATTCTTTGGGCAAATAGCGCTGGCGAGCTGCGGGCCCAGACTTCGGCTTCACGGCGGTGGGTGGCTGCGGATGGACGCCAAAGTTGCTAACCATTGCGTTGAGGCCGTGCTTGCCCTCGTTGTGGATCTCACGCTTGATTATCTGGCGCGTCTCCTGGATGTGTTGCTCGTGCGAAGTTGCGCTGCGCGATTTGTTGGGCAGCGGCACCGGGTCACGCGTTGCAGCTTCCAAGCAGGACGTCGAGATCTGCAGCTTTTTGGCCAAGTTTTGGCTGGTGTCCAGATCCTCCAGCCCGTCATTGGCCCTGGCAATGCTGCGCTTGGAATTCCGCTGCATTAGGCGACGCAGGAATCCGTGGTCGCTCGAGTCCGACGTGCCTGTGGTGACATCATCGCCATCTGTCGACGACTCGCCGCGTCCATCGAACAGCGCATTGGCCGCCTTGAAGGTGAGTGCTCGCAATCCGAACGGCTGCGACGAGGTCGTCGTCCTCTCACTGCTGCTGCTGCTGATGCTTGTTATTGTTGAGCTCTTATGCTCGATTGTCTTGGTGCGCATATAAGAGTTGCTGGTGGGATTCGTGGCAGTTGCGGTGGTTGTGGCAGCCAGGCTGCTGCCCGGAGGTAAAGAGCGCGTCTTGGTCTTTTGATCGGTATCTGCGAGCGAAGAGCAGGCATTAGTTGGATACGAGTTATGGTTATGGCTCCCGCTTACCTTTAACAGCCCTCAAGATGGGATTTAGAGCCTGAGTCTGGCTCATCTTCATAAGCTCCTCGTCGTTGGCCTCGGGTATTGAAGTCTGTAAAACAATCAAAACGATTTCTTAGCTTCTCAATGTTAACTTGAATGACTTCTAAAATGACCCACCTCCAGAGTTCTTCGATGCTGCCGAGTGGGACCCTTCTTCTTGACCGGCCTGATGGCCATTTTGTGTTTGGCAGCGGCATGCGAGAGCCGATGTCGCTCCAAGCCAACCGCGTCCACATCATCCTCCTGATGGTCCCGCAATACGACCGAGCCTATTTGCTCCGAGGAGCTGATCGATTTACTCGAGTGCTGTCTATGGCTTTGACTGTCCTCTCCGTCGGTGCTGTTCACGCTCAACAGGCTCAGGGAGGACACCTCGTGGCCTTGGGCCACGCTACGTGGCTGGTAGCCGGCAGCCTTTCGGCTCTGCCCGGCGCCCGCATGGCGCTGCGGCGAAGCTGGGCTACGGGGTAGACCCAGATCCTCATCCGAGGCATCAGGCCTGTTTCGACGCTTCCGAAGTACATCTGTCAGTTCCGCCTGCAATCGGAATGTGATTTGGGATATTATTGGAAATGCAAAATTGAAAAAAAAATGAATGTTTTTTTGCGAAGTCTTTATCTTGGGTTTACCCAGCTCTTCCAGCGGAACACTAGGCGAGCGCGTAAGCAACTGCGACTCAGTCGACTTTCGCCCCCAGATGATCCAGTTAGTCGCATTTTAAACGGATTCTGCTTAAAGTCAATCATTTCGACTGCCTCGACTCGCGGACGAGGCGTCAAATGACAATTATGTGCTCAACTGTTAGTTATTCGATTCAAGAAGTGTTCACATAGAATATATGACACGACGATTCAGCTCTACTTGAATATTAACGCATGATCAGTTGGACTGACTTGAGATCTTACCGAAAACGAAAGCTGGAATGGGTTGTTTTGGATGTTGCGGGTGCCCGCACTTCCGGCTACCATTTTGATCTATTGATGAGGGGCCTCGAGCGAGCAGAGCGAGCAGCCAAAGAAATCAAGTGTCACCGCAAGCTTTTTCTCGACACTCGCAATAATTAACTAATAAGGGCTATTGTTGTTGTTGCGCTGAGGCAAGCACGCGATCCGTCTGATTTCACTTTCTTTCCACAGCGCCGCAGAGCCGATCTGAACGCGTCCAAGTGCAATGTGCAACTGAATTATTGTGCCGACGTCTCGACATGCCCGGGTGCAGGGCAAGGCAGACTCGAGGCAGGGGCAGGCAGCATATGCGGCACCCTCGACAGATGCGGCAACAACAATGCAACGCTTGTGAAATGGCATCTCTCAGTTTTTACCTAGTCGAAACATAATTGGGCGCTAGGCAGGCAATGGGAATCTGTTTATTGTCATCACTTGCACTGAGCATGGAGAGCATTTCAAGGGTAGTCTCTGGCAACCCGGACCCATCTAAGGAACAGCTACGTGCAACAATATTAAATTCGAGCTGGTAAACAAGCTCTCCCCCTCTTCCACACGCATCTAATTTTCTCTATTTATACAGATCTGGCAGACGCCGCTTCCTTATGGATATGCTTCCAGTTTCTCTTCCAGTTTCATTAATCAGCGTCTCTGGAGCATGACGTGGGGAGTCGCCGCACTCAAGTATGCATATTCCTGCTTACAGCATCTATTTTCGGGTGTGAGCCTAAGGATTTAATGCTAAAATGCTGCAGGTCACAGACCTCGTCCATCCATTACATTACGCATACAAAATATAATTGTTAGCCATTTATAGATTAGGGAGAGTTCAATGCCCCACTCCGGCAGGTTGTACTTTAAACAAAGTTTAGATTTATGGATAATTAAAGACTATATCCTAACAGCATCTATATATACCCGTCGTTAGGTTTAACTGCAAGCAGGTATAAGGAATGCCCCTTGGTAGTCACATCACCTGAAGCGTTTTTAATCTAGCCAGTTAACGGCTAGTCTCGACTACCTGCTCGCCCTGCATTTCAGTTGCCCCTCATCCGAAAAGATCACCTGCACCCACAGCTGATGCGAGTCGCTGGCTCGTCACATTCGCTGATTTATTGGCACACTTGGTGAGTGGGCCAACTCGTGGCCATTGGCCTAACATGCAACTGGCCCGCGCGATGATTACAACAGCCCGTCGACAGCTGTGCGGGAGTGGGACGAGTTGTGGTTGAGTGTGGCCCGTCTACTTGAGGCGCAACAGTTGGCAAGCTGCAAGCCAAAATGTTCGCATTAAATCATTTCGGACTTTTTGTCAAGCATATGGAGGCGAAAAATTGGTTTCCTGCTTCAGTCAACTGCATCTATTCAGTTATGCAAAGCGTATTACGAAAAGGTAAACCTTCACTTAAACCTACAACAGGACAACCTAAGTGTGTCAACCTTAAGGTTGACACACCTTAAAAAAGAGAATACCTCCTTTAAATTTCCTTTAAATTTCAATTACAAATTGTGAAAGGGGATGCAGATCTGATGACACACTTGCCGCATTATGGACGCGGAAATCAATAAGGTATGTAAATCAAATATTTATGCAATGCGAGCCGACCGAACGGGAAGTCTGAATGCCTCACTTACGGATCGCATATGTAAATATGTACGCATGGTAAATGCTGCTCTGAATGTGGGTCGAATTGACTTTTCGGCTAAAGTCCTACAGTCGGTCGGAACAGTCAGCTTGCCAACAGGTTTAGGCCGAGTTCCCCCGTCCCATTCGCTTCTCCAGGCAGGCAATTAAAGCAAAGCGTGTGAAATGACATCGCATGTTGTCCCCATCAGCTCCCCATCAGCTCCCCATCAGCGCCCCATCAGCTCCCCATCGGCTCCATTTCCCACTCTATTGGACCGACTGTTGATGTGTCTGCTCGGTCTTGATCAACCTCGTTTGATTCCAATGCGTGTTACCGTGTTACCATATATCTCTTCGCCAGCCTGTGTCCAGCACAGTGAAAATTGAATGTAGCTGCGTTGTCGCTCAGTTTTCCCCATTATGGACGTCAACTAGATTTTTTCTTGCTATTTCTTTTTCATTTTAACAATCTACAAAGGCTCTGTCAAACCGGTTAAAGCGTATCATGGCCTGGGATAAGACACTTTACTTTGAGCTGAGGTTTTGCAGGAAGCGTCAACCTTTGCATTTGCCATCAAACGTCATACCAAATTACAATAAGAACTCTTTTCAGTATAGGAATTTTCTATTCGAGTACATCTTTAGCTGTCGATTTGGTAATGCGTTCATCTTATAAATCATGCGAATATATTCAAGTAAATGAGCAAACCACGAATTAAATGAGCTAGTGAAGAGGCACAGTTCACACACAATTATAAAACTAAACACACTCGAATATTGAACTTTTTCACTTTTGTAATTTCTATTTTCTGGTTGCCATCGATGGAAGTTGGTGCAGCGACTGCGAGAAGCGAGCAGCGAGAAGCGTTGTCGACGTCCAAGTGACTCGAAGCAAACTGATTTAGCGGAAAACTTAGCAGGAGTTCAATAGCATAGAAACAGAAAGAAATGCGATTTATTTGCTAACCAGGTTGGCAAATAAGCCGCCAGCTGGACTGCTGGACGGGAGGGGAGGGGATGGGGAGAGGAGGGGAGGTGTAGCCTCAGGCAGAGGGAAGCAGCGGCCAACTGACAGTCAAGTGGAAAAAAGTGGAATAACAAGAAGCAGTAACCGGCGGGCGGGAATGCAACCGAGAGACTCGGGCCAGTAACTCGTTTGGCCAGAAACTGAAGAAGCATTAGAAACAGAGGCCGGCGGGCGGCCGGCAAAGGGAGAAGCCACACATTGCCACGCGCTGCAACAACTGTTGGCCAGCTCCAAGCTCTAAAGGCCTCCCCCCTCCCTAACCACCCCTCCTGCAAGCCACAAAGGCATAACCAACAGTCCGATAGCTGGTGGTAGCTGGTGGTGCATTAGACTATTGCACTAAACCACACAACGGGCCTCGACTGCGGTTTCCAGTTGCGCTGCGACGCGTGCGGCGGGCAGCCTCTGCATTTCTTCTTTCCACACCAGCCTGGCGATTATGCAGTCAAAAACTGGCGCGGACGTCGACACCAGTGTTAGATAATGGAAAATGTTAAAAAAATCAGCAAATGCAGATCAATAGAGCTTTACTGATACATACGATACATACAACTATAAATTAAAAACAGTGCTATTTAATTAATGGTTTGAACCTTAAGGCGGGTCGCTGGTTTAAATCTTCACCGGAATCAAGCACAACCTTCATGGAGTTGCAGCAAAATCAATCGGGGCAGCCCAACCCAAGGCAGCCCAACCTAAATCACAGATTTAAACAGATGATAGCAACATCCAACAATGGAGGCTGAGTCAATGACCACATTTATTGATGCCCCCAGGCTTTAGGCCTCCACATTGCATCCACAGTGAATTGAATTTGATTAAAATCAATTGAAATGATTCCCAGTCAACGTGAATCAACAATACAGCAAGAATTGTGGGGCGTATGTCAAAGTGGAGCACGCATATATCTTCGGTTGTTTGTTGGTGCCAACACAACATCCCTTCGCGACCGGGTTGTTAACCGTTATTTAACACCACTTGCATGGAGGGAGGGGGGGGGGGGGGGGGTGCAGAGAAGCCCTTGCTGCTGACTCATGGCCAATTGCGAGGGATTCGGAAGTTTGGATCGATACAAGCTGCCCAAAAATAACTGTGCATGTTTATCTATCCGAGTATTTAATGCTCGAAAAGAGTATTTAATGCTCGAAAAGAGTATTTAATGCTCGAAAAGAGTATTTAATGCTCGAATGTTTTCGGAAAGCCTATTTTGTTAGAACGTCATATTGAGCTGCTCCCAGGGCAGTTATCTGTTTCTGAGAAATTTTAATCTTGCTACAGATAATTTCATTTTATACTTATTTATGATCTAAGTTTGTTTTTTTTTTCAACTTAATTCCATTCTTTAAGTTCGGAAAAGTATCCCATTTTTCGAGCTTGGGAAAACTAAAACTTGGCTCATTGAAAATATGTTTAAAGCTGACTGTATGAGAAACAAAATATTTCCATCAAGCAGCAACTTTCTTTGGGGCTGGATTCGCTAAGTCAGCTTTGATAATAAGTTTAAGACCAAAGGACTCGGTTCATAGCCCAATTTTCCATTCAAACGTTGGGTGAATATTGCGAAAAGTGTAAAACACGTCTCAAACGAGTTGAAACAGATCGAATACTTTTCTGTCAATCAATCAGTCAGACAGTAAGTCAGTCAGTCAATCATTGAACCAGTCAGTTAGTCAGTCCGTCCGTCAGTCTGTCCGTCAGTCAGTCAGTTAATCAGTCAGTCAATCACTCAGTCAGTCAATCAAGCGCCAGCGTTCAATATCTGAAGGATATCAAGGACTGCAACATGTGATCGCGATTATATTCAATCTATGTTTAACTAGCACACGGGGCTTACAAGATCCGATTAAATGGATTGCCACTCACCTTCAGTACAATGGAAAGGCTGCTGGCAGTTGCGGATTCAGAGAAGACGCTGTCATGTGACTGCGAGAGAGTTTCACGTGTGTAACCGCTGCTGGAAAGAGAAAGCGAAAGAGAGAGAGAGAGAGAGAGAGAGACAGCATTAGCTTTGGCTAGGAAATCCGGTGTAAGAGCCGTCGCTTACCCGTCCACGTCCACGTCTACGTCGAGCAGTCGTCCTTCACTGAGGCTGCGCTGGCTATCGGACATATCGGCTGCAGCGCCAACGGCGCCGCTGTCCTCGGCGTTTAGATCCTGCGAGGAGTCGCCCACGCTGCGCAGCTGGCGCTGATGGAGACGCTTCTCGGCGAAATACGAGCTGCGGCTCATGCTCATGGCGTCCGGGAAGACGGCCACGCCCATCTGCTGTCGCTGCGTTTGGTACATGGCGTCAGAGTGGGAATGCGGCTGGGTCTGAACTTCTGGTTGCTGCGAGCAGGGCGGCGTCTGCTTGCTAGCTCTCTTCTTGCCGAGCAGCACGCTCAGTAGTTCATCGCGATGTGCTCCGTAGGACTTGGACTTGGGCAACGACTGCGTCTGGTAGCTCTCGTGCAGCTGCTGATGCGTTAACGGCGATGCCGGCGACGAGGCCGACACTGTCTCCGAGTGTCCGGTGGAGCCGGAGCCAGAGAGCGCAACACTGCGCAGATTCTTCTCACTTGAACTGCTCGCCGGCGGCGGCAACGTATTGCACGAGCCCGCTCCAGGCGCCTGTCCGGTGGCAGCTACGGCGCTCTCCGCGCTGTTGATGGTGCGACGGCGAAAGATCCGCCGCAAATTGCGTAGCGGGTGGAAGCGACGTCGCTTTTGCTGCTGCTGCTGCTGCTGATGCTGTTGCTCTACAAGATTAGGAACAAAGTAAAAGCAAATTGCTTAATTTGGTTCTAAAGGGAAAGGGAAACGATTTACAACTGCCGAAACATATCAAAATACAGGGAGTAAAGCTTGCTTTGACATTCTGGCTCAATCACAATCTTTACCAGGGCTGCAAGCTCAACAAATTGTTTACGGTTCGAACCAACTCCCTGCTGATTCGAACTGGCTCAGTTCAGACCGCTTTAAAGCATTGGACCCTGCCTTTGGGTTCGGTTCGTGAACCCAGTTTTTGGTTGAAGCCTTGGAATGTCATATATTTCCAACTTAATTCGAACTGGTTCAGTTCCTGTCCCTGCCTTTCGGTTCGGTTCGTGAGCCCAGTTTTTGGTTGAAGCCTTGGAATGTCATATATTTCAAACTGAACCAGTTCGAGGTTCAGTTTAGACCGTTTTAAGGCATTGCAAATCAAAAGTCAAACAATAAATAAAGAATACTTTCAAGCACCTTGTCGAGATATTGCACAAACTTTGTAATCAATTTTATATGCTTGCCCGGACAGTTATCCGAGGTTATAAAATCTGAATTATATGTGGTACATACATATCCATTGTGAACTTAATTTATATCATTGATTGTTGAATATCTTCACAATTGATTAAGAGTTGAGCAATCAAGTTGGTGACACAAATCATTGTCACGACTGATAAGAAAAACAGAAACAATTCAATTCGCGAACCATTTATAAACATGACCATAAATAGGCAAAAGTAAAGCCAAAATGCGTGCTGGGAACACCCGAACGCTTAATCAAAGTGTGACAAGGACAGACACCCAAAAGAGAGAGTGAGATAGAGAGCAAAAAAAGAGAGTGAGAGAGAGAGTTGGAGAGAGTGTGCGACAGGTCTGGCTCTTTGGCAAGGTCGCAACTAATCTGGCAATACTCGAGTACAATTATTTTGCGGAATAATATTGGAATACTTGATTAAACAATAGGTAAATAAATCAGGCAATTGAATTGAACCAGCACTCTGGTTCGAATCTCCTTCTTATTACTTATAATAACTATGAAAAAGAGGCTGTTAAAATTCAGCATTACGTTCTTTTATGCGCATCAATTCATCAGCGCATTGTAAATGATAATCAATTTAATTGGTATTGTTTGCATTGCCCGCTTTTTCTCTTATAGAATTTTATACTTCGTTTGTCAATAGCCTCAAAACGTTTTTTCCTTATTACTGATAACGCTTTTCACACCTTTTGTGCTGTTTACATAGGTCAATTAACGTTTCGACATATAAGAAATCAGCTAAAAGCACGTAGATAACGCGACTCACAGCGATAACCAGATCCAAGATCTAGCAAGTACGTATGAAATAAAAAACTTAGTTGAACTACTCAATTACCTATTATTTGAATACTAACTAGGTGGCTCGCATGTACTCGTGCAGTTTCCCCAGACAGAAAAGGGTAAAAAGTGATATGATGTCATTGCCTCGAACGTGAGTCAATCCAACATTGCCATGTGTCATTTTGCCAGATGATTGTTTGAGACCAGCATTCCCTGTATAATAAATCATATAACCATGTCTGTAAATCCAACAAAAGTCTTCGGTGTTTTATTTCACAGTTTGAACCATATTTTCCTAAATTAATTGAAGAATATGTTGTACTGAAAGAGTAAACGAGTCCAATTTTTAATCCAGCTCAAGGATCGGTTCGTGGTAAATTAAGAAAACAAAACAGCTCAGCTTAGAAAAGCTTTGTTTACAACCACGTTAACTATTAACAGCGCGCATTTATTAACATTTTTCTAACATTTTGTGCATAACATTTCGTACTGCTGTTACTGTTAGTCAAAACTTTCTATTGCCAATGTAAGAACTAAAAGTGAAACAAAAATATGGCCGGAAGTAACAGAATCTTCAGTTGCAAATAGACGTAGTGCGGCTTTTTCCCTTAATGGCCACCAGCTCGGCACCCGGCACCCGATACCGTTAACTGACAGGCGTAAATATGAAATATCGACAACATGCCAGTCACGTTTTGGGGCCAATCCAAACACTCGCGTCGTACATATCTGTCGGCACGCAAGCAGTTGGGCTTCTTCGCGGAGAATATATATATATATACATATATTCCCATATATTTACATATAAGTAATCACAAAATGTTTAGGGAGCTTTAGTTCTTAAATGTTATTGTAGCAAGAAAATTACCTAAGCTAGTGCTAGTTGGTCTAAATAGCTTCGCTCTTAGGATGATTGGCAAGCAGAATCACGTATGCAAAACGGGCTTGAACCAAACCGGCTTATATCCGGAATTCAAAGTCTTTTTCTATACCATGAACTGCACTTTAAGCCGGATTAATTGACATAAAAATAATTTAAAAGTCTTTAACTTTGTTTTTCCATAGATCTTAACAAGTAATATGTAATGCGACATGTATGATATATTGATAATTAGGAAGATACTCGCTTTTGTAGACCATTAAATAAATAAATAAATATAAATATACATTTATTAATCTGGTGCTAATCCGTCTAGCCGGTTTTTTAATTGTCCCGAATTTTTAAACTCGAAATATTGTGAAAAAAAATGAAAAAAATGTTTCATAACTTCGTAGTAACATTTGGTATATTGGGTAAAAAACTTTATTATTGCTTTATCCATTTTAAAATCGGGTAAGATTTTTAAAGAATTATGGCGAATATAGTCACCTAAACTTCAAAAATGGCTAGAATAAAATGTTGAAAAAAAAAATAATTTGTTAAATTCATATTATTAGGGGCCTCAGTTATCAAAAAATCGGTTCTATCAAACATTTGCAAATGTAATGACAATGTTTTATCAGATAATCTGTAAGTTTTGGGCTTGATTTGAATAATCATTAATGAGCTATAATATTGTGAATCACGATGAGTTCAGGCATGACTCTTTCGTCCCAACACTTAGTATGATATCGTTAGGTAATACTTTTTCAAAATAATATTAATTCTACTTTATTTTTACGCAGTCATCACTTGACGTTTGTTTTTTTTTTATTCTTTTTTGTTGTTTTCTTCTGTGTGATTTAAGTAATTTATGAAAACATTGTAAGTTTCCAGTTTTTGGCCGCATGAGGCAATTGTTGATGCAAACTTAGCTGCCAGCTATGTATTGATGTACATATGTGCATACATACTTATAACTGGGTGATGTGTCTGACGCACGTAGGTGTTGTTATTATTGTTAGTAGGGTAGGGTATTGCCGATGACACGAATTCTAAATGAAATATGGCCGTCAACATGGCATGGGCGTTGAGACTCGAACCCGTGTGCGACGCGACGCGACGCGTTGTCTGGCCGTCTTTGCGCAAGTAGGCGCATTTATTAATTAATCATTTTGCAAATGTTGCGCGCACAAATTCAAATTGGCAACTGAAACCGGGCAATCGGCCATCGGCAGCTCGCGAAAACTGAGACATGGCAAAATCCAAATGACAGCCACTTTTTTAGCCAGCAGCAAGTTGCAGTAATTGGAGACTCTTGTTGTTGTTGCAACAACTGTGTGTGAGCGGATGCTTGACACATGTCTGCACATGTGTGTGTGTGTGTGTGTGTGTGTGTGCTTTACTTGTTGTTCAGTTGCCTTTGCTTTGGGCTTTGGCTCGGCTCGGCTTGGCTTGTGGCCAGGAAGGTCAAGCTAGCCGCACCGCGCCCAGCCCCTGCTGCGGCTGCCGCTGCTGCCACGCCCCCCATTGGCGTCATCACCCGTTCCCAGTTGGCATTGGCGTGTGGGCAGCTTATCCGCTTTACAAGTGCTTAATTCACTTACGCCGTATTCTACACATCACAAAATAGTAGAGAACCGAAGCGAATACAACTTAAAATTGCGCAACTGCGAACTGCGTTGGCTGCTACAAAAGCCATTTAACATGTTGTGCAGCCGGCCTTCAAATGCAAGTGCCGAAGATTGTGCACATTATGCGGCCTTGGCTGCAGCAGAGGCATGGCAATCGAGTCTAATCAGTTCTTAGCTGGATTTTCTAAAAAACTAGCGGTTATTAGACGAGTTTGCGCGTGAAAAAATAAAAAAATTAAAAGTTTTCAATCCAATCGAACAAAAATTGAACTTTCCACTCATTTTCCACCTAAGGTGGTGGATTTTGCGAAAAGCAACAAATATGCCTTCAATGAATTTTAGCATAGATCGTACGCTTTGAGCGAAACGGATAGTAAAAATGTAAGTATCATAAAACAAGTTGGATTTTTCAATATCGCTAAAACCTTTTTTATAGAGCATTCAAAAGGAGGTTAACACAAATCGTTTTCCACTAATTTTCCGCAGCTGCATGTGGAATTTAGCAAATTCAGTGCGTATATCAGCTTACTAGCCAAAGTCACCAATCAATCAGTCAGTCAGTCAGTCAGTCAGTCAGGACAATCAGATTTATATATATTAATATAGATCGTTGCGTAAAAGACAGACACTACGTTGAACTGGTTTTACAATTTTACTCAAGTTGAAATGCACAATGGTTCAATCTTTGGGCAATAGCCGGGGAGCAGCACAGACGACAATCAGCCGCGATAAGAGGCACCGCCAATCTATAATGACGGCAAGTCCATAATCGCTGGGAAGTTGGCTTCAATCAACTGGCAACATGGCGATGACATCGGGCTTATCAGCTAACCAGAAAGCAAGAGCCAGACCAAGTTTTTTACAATCAAAGCGAGACGCATGGAACTGATTGCATAATGCTTGCGACTTCACATGGAGGCGCCACAATCTGACCAGTTGCGCTTCCGCTGCCTCGGCCGATATCCGGCGAATGCCTTAACCCTTTGACATTCATCACATGAGCTCAAATATTGTCCCCTTCTCATTGAGCCACTTAAATTCGTTGTTCATTGAACGGTTTAATTGTTTGATAATCTGATCTGACCCAAATAATATCCACTCACTTTGACCGATTGTCAATGGTCGCTCAGCTGGCACATGGCTGTTGCCATAGATCCAAAGTCGTGACTGTCTGGCCCAGGTCTGTCAGAAGGCCTTAAATAGGGTTCTGCTCACCTTGTATTTAAATATGGGCCAATAAATAACTATGGTTCTCTTTTTAAAATACCTTTCAACGAACTAATCGCTATTTATTTACGACTTTACGAGTGCAATACTATGCGAAAAAATGCTAAGCATTTCGTGGTTGAATAAATGAAATGAAATAAAACAACAACAAATATAAAGTTCGTTACCTGTTCAAATAAAATACCGCCGAAAATAGATGCAGATGTTTCTTTTGTTTTCGGGTTATAATTGTTTACAGTGGTTTGTAAACAAGCGAACCGAGTCAGAAATTGTTCAAAAATACATATATATTGTATATTTAAGTAGATGGGCACTTATTTTAGTTGGGTTTCACTTTAAGATAGTATCGCAGAAATCAATAACAACACAATTAAGCACTTCAACTAATTGAAAACAATTGGTTGGTTGGTTTCGTAAACTGTTAGCAGCATTAACTTTAGTTACAACAAAAAGAAATTGCAGAAATTTCAAAATCGGCAAAATATTGTAAATATTGATTTTCAAATCGTGTTTCGATTGCAATTGCTTTGATTTTATATGTTTGAAATTTTAGTTAGCTGTCGGAGTAATTAGTGCGACACGCGCCAGGTACTACGAATTGTTCACCTGCCCAGGTGGAGCAGAGAGCAGCGAATGAATTAATGAATAAGTGAATACACGAATACGGCGACGCAGTCGAAATCGAAATACAACAGACGCAACGCCAGACACTAAATACAAATTGAAATCGAAACGAAACGAAGCGAAAAAACCGAACGGCCCTCGGCACAGACATCGGCAACGGATCGGCAAATGTTTGGCTTATTAGCGGCTAACTGATTAGCTCTTGCCTTCGCACATACATACATACATGCATACATACGTGCATAACAATGCCTGCGGTGTTTGGGTAGGCAACAGTTAACAGTGCACTGTTTACGGCTAACAGTGACTGTTATCGTACATGGCCACACATGTTATGTTACTCTTTGGGAAATCGGGCTTGTTTTTGTTGTTGTTTCCATAGGTTAGCAACCAACAAAGGCCCCAATTTTCATGCCTAGAACGCGTTGTGGAAAGTTGTTGTTGTTGTATGTCATCCGCAATTACATAAACATTATTCGCCGACTAAGTGGGGCTGCAAATACTGGAACCAAATATCCATTGTTTAATGCCACACAAAGAGCTAGCATAATATAACAACTACCGTTGCTGCATTGGCTAATGTTGTTGTGATTGCTCAGGTGCGAGGTTTTCAGGCAACTGCTTTGTGGTTTTATTTTGGCCTGAACACATTCAGAAAATAGAGTCCTCATTAAAAGAAACAACAATAAAATCGAAAGCTCGCACTAATGTATGTACAGGCTGCATTTATTTTTACATAAGTACATCACATGCATGATGTACACCAAGCAAGCCTTTATGACAGACTGACTGACTATTGCGGTTGCACCAAAACCAAATTCACAGCTCCAGCTAATTATGCACATGCATACCAACAAACACAAACAACAAAAGTGACTGACTAGACGAATGCTCTCCAAGCGTGGCTGTTGAGGTAGGCCTAATATCGCCTGGGGCCACGACAGAATGTCCATCAATTTGCAGCTACCCTTAACGCATAGGGTATAAACAATTGCAGCGCATTGTTGTCGCTCGGGAAAGTCGCGGACTATTTTTGCACACATAGTTATGCGTATCAGCACATATAAGTATATAACACCTGCACATATTGACACACACATATACACACACTCTGACACAGGTACATTTGTACTTGTATATATACGCACAGTGATACTCTAATAAATGTGACTCACCCACATTCGTTGAACAGTGGCCATCAGCTGTTGCTCCTTCTGCTGCCGCCGGACTAGGAATGGGAGTCGATGTCATTGGACCCTGAAAGCCGTGGGTTCTGCTATTGCCTTCCGGCAATGACAAAGGACCTGCTGCACTTACATCCAATTCCAACGGTGGCGAATTTTCCCGCACACACGACATGAGCCCGGAAGACATGCTAAAATATACAAAATTATATTATAGAAATTAAAATATTAGTTAAAGGGTATTTTAGATGAAAATAATAGACGAACACTTAATGCATTTACAGACATTTGGCAGAATTTGAAGAATTTTATACAAAGACTATTTTTGCTATATATGATATAGTTGATGCAATCTTTCAAATATGTTAGCAGCATAGTGTAATAGCAAATGCTGTTAAAAAAACATAAACAAAAATATTGCTAAAAAAAAGTCCTTTTCAAAGATTCGAGAGAGAGACCTTTAATAGAAACAGACGGACATGGATATATCGTTTTTTTTGATTATATAATTTTTTTTTTTAAGGATTTCTATCTGATTATCATACATCAGAAAGCTTTATGTTCAGGGTATTTCGATATTTAACTCAGTTAGTTTACGCGATCCACAAACTATTTTTACCGGCAGCCCCAAAGTATGCTACAACACCTTAAGATAAACTAATTTAGACCGACAGGTGCACGCGTAGGTGGTTTACAGTCCCCTGAGCACGTGTTGTATTTATAATAGAAGATGATGCCACATTCTGTTGAAAGTGGAGACTCTGAGAATTTCTTACTCTCTAACTTTTATGTGAGCTTACTTTGTTTAGTTAGTTAAATTATTATTATTCGCTTTAATGCTTTAATTTTGTCATCTTTAGTCTAACTAGTTAAAAGTATTGAATGTTTATTTTTTCTCTGCATGTTAAACATATTATTTTTAAAAATAATATATTAATTTAAACAACATAAACAAGCAAGTGTGGTTTTCTTGGGTATGCCTCACTAGAGGATACCCTGTTTACAACACCTCACATATACCTTAAAATGCAAACCGTTAACACTTTATACAGCAATTTTGCTTTTTCCCTATGCATTCTTGACTAGCCTCGGTGTTTATAGTCCGATTTTTATAATTTTTATATACTATGCGATATTTTCTCGATATGCTTCGAAAACATGTTTCAGAATAAACAAAAAAAAAGGGATATGTATGATATAGAAGAATTCATTAGTAATTTTATTTAATAAAAATAAATAATAATTAAAGACAGATTTAGATGAACTCAACTCGTTGGTCTTATCAAAAATTTATATATATATTCTAAGGTCGAAGACTCCTTTGTAGACATGATTGATTATTAATCGTTTCAATTGGTGAAGGATATTATAAAGTTGTGTGTTGTGCTTACAGATGATCTACAATGGAAATTAGAAGCCAGCATTTGAGTTGGGCATACGCAGGGAAGCAATTAGCACTTGGCTATATTGGCATTGCCATTATCATCTTAATTATCGCAGAGCGTTACGATAACTAACCGCAAAAGTAACTCGGTGCCGCCACCGTGTTGCACTCTCATGTGCTTGCGGCCGTAATCGGATTCGTGTGTGTGCAACGTGGAAAATCTTACAAATTAACTTTGGCTTTCATTTGCATTTTACAGATGCGCACACACACACATTCAAGCACTGAAAAGTTAAGACGCCGTGAAACGCAACGCAAAATGTGAGCAACAGCAACAAATTTAATTATACTACGTACACATGAGTACGTAGGATTTGCATATTCACGTCTGGGCCTTGCTTAGTATCTGCGTCTGTGTCTGTATTTGTATCTGTATCTTTTGCCTTAACGCGGTAATTGCACTCGCTCATTACACAAATTTGCCAACATAATTATGATGTGCCGGGCCAAACAATATAAACAAAAAACAACAGAAAACAACAACTAGACAATGCGCCATGGGCCATGGGCCACGGGGCCAGGAAGTTACCCACAGCTAAGCCCTGTTGCTGGCTGGGCTAGTCGCCTTGGCCATAAAAAAAAAAACGCCGTGAAACAAATGGCTAAATGTTCTCAAGGCAGTGCAAGCACTTGTTGAGGCTTTGGCTGGAAACGACTAATCCCAATGACACACCGCCGAGCTGGCAAAATGGCATAATGCGCAGAAACGCTGGTAGTGAAAAGGAAAGTGCCCCTGACCGGAAAGCAGATGGAAAAGCGAAAAGCGAGCTGCAAACAAGAAACTGCATGCTCATTGCACGTTTACACAATGATTCAGTCGGAGACCTCAAACGCTCAGCTGATGTCGAGCGCCCTAGCTAAACTGTTCGTTCATTCATATGTGGGGGGCCATTAATTTTAATGACTCACGGCTTTGACGATTTTTTTTAACATCTCTTCTTCTTTGCAAATGCGAATATTTGAAATGCAACAAATTGTGCCAAGGTGTACATTAAAATCGGACTCTCATTCAATCAATTTCAAATGGATGCGAAGCTTTTAGTGTAGCAAATGGATTCTGAATAGTTATTCAAAATTGGCTGGGATTTTGAGATTTTTGTTATGACAAAATCAACCCAAAATTTCAAGTACAACTTCTTCGTTATTGTATAAACCAAAAAAAAAGTTGCTTGTTCTCCTATTTTGGCGATCTATTTAAAATTTTTAGTTTAATATTTCGAAAATAGTTGAAAAATGTGCCTGACTCAAATATTCTTTTATGTTTTGTTTACATTTTAAATTCAATACCAAGGTTATAAGTCAAGATTTTATATATATTTTTCTTTTGCTGAGTACAATCCAAAGACACTAAGAACAGGCTTAAAATTCCACCTACTTTTAAAGCTTTCTTAATTTCTGCTCAAATCAAGCCAATTTACGATAAATAATTGTAAAATATGCTAGCTCTGACACCATTACGTCACGATTCAAATAGCTCAAAGAAATCTTTAGCGTATAAAGGAACGATTATATATTGCATAAGTTTGCACAATATCAATCAATTATTCTCCCACAATTTGCTTAAGCATATTTCTGTGATGCTTGTTATTAATCACATTTTATGAATTTTTGTTTGTTTGTTTATTTTTGCCGTCGGGTGCATCTGACTACATAATACTTTTCTTACCCCAATACTCCAAAGATGTCGATTGTTCCGATTTGGGACGATCTTCAATCAATTTATAGGGCAGGTCAACTGTGGTCTTCACTTCAAATATGCTTACTCTACACAGCGCGAAATTAAATTAAATATTTTCAACTTTAAAAACAATATTTCAAACTTGATTTCTCACTACGATTGCAATTACGAAAGATCAGAAGTTCAATCCAACTCCAAGTACAAACTTCTTATATTGTCCTAGTCCGAAATCGTAGTAATTAGGTATTTTCTAACTCAAAACGAGAATCCTCAACATACATGAAATAGGTCTTCGTTTTACATATTATAAAATCACTTTTAATTCGACTTTTCTCTTTCAGTGTAGCTCAAAACGCCCAAATTTGATATTGGGATAGACGTTGCACAAAACCAATATGCTCGTTTTGAGCGAGTATTATAATAATTTGCAGAGGGTCGCCAAAAAGAGGCAACATGCTCTGAATGTGGCGCCGATGACGCAGCAGCGACTGCGGCAGCGACTGAGGCAGCGACTGCGGCAGCGACTGCGGCAGCTGCTGATTCAGAGATTCTTGGCCCCTAAACTGGGGCTGATGCTGATGATTTGGTTGTTTATTTTCGAATGAGTGCGTCACTCTGACCGCAGCCGGGAGCACATCATTGGCAGTTCATGCGGTACCTACCCAGCGGAATGCGCCCAGACGGCAGCCGACTTTGTGGGGGATCGTTGTCGCGTGTGCGCCCTTTCATTAATGTATGTATTATACTTATGTACAAGTATATAATGCGGTAAGCACGCGAATTATAATTCAATTCTTGCGATTTCAATTTCGGTTTGACACAAACACAACTTGTGGCTGCCAGCGAAATGTGCGACTAAAAATGCGTTTTTCTCGTTCTCGCAGTGGAGTCCGGATTCACAGCCTCAGCCTCAATGAAGCACCAAGACCCATACATCACGATACACACACACACATACACACACACACACACATGCCGAATGACAGAAGCGAAGCGCAAAAAAGCTGAAGCAACATTTTATGTGTGCCCAAGGTCAAGGAGCGCGGCCAAAAGCCGCTCTCGCGTGGGCGGGAGAGCAGCTGCAGCATCAGCGCAGTTGTTGGAAAGACTGTTAGCAACATGTTGCTGGAAACATGTTGCTACACTTAACGTGTTCAATTTAGAATACAATTTGTAATAATTGCTAAAGCAACTTAATAAAAGATTATTTAAAATATAGTAATATATTGTTAAATATATACATATTCAAAATATTCGATGTGAACAACTGTTATATACATATATATAGATATATGTTTCATTCTATGCATGCATATATTTTTAAATATATGCCCATAATGTTGCCAAGGCTTTCTTACTCTCTCGCTCTTTCCAGCTCTCTCGATTGACACTGCGCAGACGTCGGTCCAAGAGTCCTCGCCGAAAGTTATATAGTTAGGACATACACACACTGACCTAGTCAACGAATAATCTAAAAACTCTGACAGCGGTGACCCCTCTTCGGCTACACTGAAATAACCATATAAGGGCAGAGAAGCTAAGGAAGGAGCTAAATATTTATTTAACGTACTCTGAACGATAATTTGCATTAATCTCAATTTTCAACTCCTTTAGAAACTTTTACAAAAGAAAAGTATTGTAAGAGTCGATAATCCGAGAGTGTTGTTATTCAATGATAACAACAAATTGTTTTATCGCATCCGAAGAGCAGCAAAGGAAGCAAAAAAGTTCTTGTTCGTTTTTCTAGAGTCGTTCACAAAGTATATCAGCTTTGCACAATGTCCGTCTAGATCTAGTATCTAGTAGCTTCCACAGATTTATTTAGCTAGTCTAAGCTAATTTTGACTAAAGACTGAATTGCATGAGTGAAAACTCTTTACAAATCAGAAGAGTTTCCGTTTTAGCATTTATTGTATTATGAAAGAGTATTGAGTAGTTGGTTTCACCCGACTGCAACAGTCGCATTTGTTTACTTTATCATCTTTTAATGGAATCAAAGAAAGTGCTTGAACAATAAAAACAATAGTTTTATGGTTATGAATACACTTATATATACCAGATACTAAGTATGCTCAAAGGTCGAATTACTTCAACAACTAAAGGCGATATTTCTGTTTGTACTTTTGTAAATTCGGGGCACATCTGTTCTATATTCGTTAACCTCGATAATGTCTAATCAAAATAAAAAAAAATAATACAATTACATACAATTTTTCATTGACTGCGGACAGCTGATTCCAAGAACAAGAACAGCCCCAAATGCGGATATGATTTATATTTGCTTTGCATAATTAACATTCATCAAGAACTCATATGACAATGCCCCTTAAGAATAGATTTTATTATGTGCCATTCAAATCTGATTTGCATCTTTAGAAAACGATTATTGTGCTTCGATTCGAGACTTACCTGATTTCAAAATGTTTTCTCTCTCCACAAAATAAATTAGCCTCGAAAGTCTTTTGTTTCAATAGCAGCCCATCAAATAAGCGGTTACATTTTTAAGATCTGTTGGTTCTGAAACAAAGCAAGGATTATCAGTTTATATAGTTTATTGGATATTTGTTATACTAATAAGACTCTAAGTTCAACAAAATTAAGTTATTCTCTGGCTTTGAAGTGCTGGAAGAAAAAGTTCTGCTCACATATTTCCATCCCTTACTAATATTTTCTTCCATTCTGATCTGTAAGTCTAGAATAGGCCCAGTCTTCCAAGTAAATTGCGAACCGATTGAATTACGTAAGACTGAAAGAGGATATCCTCTCCCTTGAAGTAACTGCAAAACGCCCAGCCAAGCCCACAGTCACACAGTTCTGCCTTGGGTTAGGCGGAATCCCTTCGCATTTGCATATCCACAGCCACATCCACAGCCACATCCACAGCCACATCCACAGCCACAGCCACATCCATATCGCATATCATGAGCCCTATTGAAAGCCTGCCCCATTATTTGGCGTGCGTGTCACTAACTGATTTGCATAAGAATGTCCAGGAAAAATGTCAATAACTGCTCGTGTAAGGGCGCCAGCCTAATCCTTTGGCACATTACGCCGTCAGAAGTATGTGAAAGCGCCCATTTTGGCGGCGCTTAAAGTACCAGTACTAATATTAAATTTCTTATTAATCTATATCTATATATATCAAATTGTGTATCCCGACTAGCGGACTGGCTAACTGGTTAACTGCACGCTAAGACGTTTCGGAAAATTTCACCCGATACAGTGAAAAATAAGTGGAAAAGAATTTAATTAAACTAGTTTTGTTTACCTTTCGCATATTCATACGCATTCTTAAACATCTTTGGAAAAAGTTTAATATTCGGCTTCTTTTATAATAGAATGAATATTAACCGACTTTGCAGTTCACCTCGCGCTTATTGTTTTTCATCCGATCGTCTTAATATGAATGTCTAACGGGTGCAAAGCCGGGTAATAACCGCTGGGCTCAATTAAATTATCTATAAAATGTATTTTAATCCTATTATTGGACATCGTTGACAATTTAGAAACAAATACATCAATATCATTACGTCTGCTTGGACTTATTCAGAGTGACCCGATTTCTACACATTTGAAGCGCAGTCGAGAGTGCAACTGACTGCAGCTGGAAATGTTTTTGTTATGCAAATTGCAATCTTTGGATCGGTGACTCGGTGACCCAATGGTATAGAACCAGCCCGAAAACTTTCTCCGCCCTGGCGCTGCCCACACACCAACCCGAGTCCGAGAGTCGGGGGCTTCGCTAGGTCTTGACGGGGGATATATATGGTTACCTAATTGGTTGGCCGACTTGACTGAAGATTAATTGCAAAACGAACGATTTCTTTCAACAACAACAAAAAAAAAATAGCTAAGTAGATATGGCAAACAATGATGAAAAGTAAAAGTTTGTTTTAGGCAAGCGAACAATGCGTCTAAATGAATTCATGAATAAATTGTCGAGGTGCCGCTCGAGCTCAAAGCTTGTTTGAGTTCTAAACAAGTTTTGTTTAATTTTTCTTTTTGTTGGTGCTTTTATCTGTTTTGTTATTAATTTTATGTGGCACAACTGTTTTTTGTTTCTTTTTATTCCATTTTAATTTATGACTGAGCTTGTTTCTAAAACTAAAAGTTAATTGAAAATCGTTTTCTCCCCAAAAACAAGACAAGACCAACTGGAATATCCAGCACAGATTCTTAGATCTATAAATATTCCGTATGACCTGACGATAATATCTACAATTTGGCTGCGATTCGTTAGGTCAGTAAACGTTTTCATGCTCAGAGGGCTCGTAATATGAAACTCCAATGCCATAGCCCATAATGCCAGGCACCACTGTGGCTCATATGTGACTGTGACTGTGTGTGTGTGGAAAAGTAAAACTGAAAACCACGAGACCACAACGAACGAACACTGGCAACAAACGTGTCGCCATTTAGGTAAAACTAGACTAGAGCCAGCAGACAGCTCGTAAGTACAAACTTTACAATGTACCATAAAACCTACTGCCAACTCGCACAAAGCACTTCAACTCATTTTACATGCGGTTATTTAATACATGAGTAAATCTTGGCCTCGACGATAGAGATTTTTTTTGTAATACTATGCAAATCACATTTTGAATTTTCTGCAAACACACCAAATACTTAAAGATCTATCGCAATAAACATAATGCACATCGAGCATAAACCGATCTCTTGCCAAATTTCCCACAATCAAAAGCATTTTATCAAAATCAAAGAATTTTTTTTTAAATTGCTTCAATTTTTATAAATTTGATATAACCGACTTCGCAATGCTCTGTTCGCAGTGATTTAGGCAATTTAATTAATCGAAAGGAATATTCTTGATTATTGGGTTTAGACTGTAATCATTTAGCAGACTTGACTCAATCTATGAACAAAAACATTGAACTATACCTGACAAGTTGGGAAGTCAAGCCCACCTTCTAGAGCTTGGGCTTGTTTCAACAAGGTTAACACCTGTTAACACCAAATACCAAGACTCGAATTTAAACAGACAATCGGATAGACTAAAATTCCATAAAACCAACATACTCGTTTTCACTTTCTGATGAAGAAGTTCAAGATATTTAAAGTAAAACAAATCTGGCCACTGCACAAATTAAATATGTGTGAGTAAGAAGGAAATTATATATATATATATATATTCAAGCCTCAATACTTGAGAAGTGTAACGCTCTATCCGATGCTATTCGAATTCCGAGTCGTTTATGACACCGACTACAACGTGAGCTCTGCGAGAGGCATAAAATTTACATTTTCTGTATGTGTATCTTTCTCTTCGTCTGACTTTTCATAAGTAAAAATAAAACCGAACCGAAGTCGAACACAATCGGATCGTAGAGCTAAGAAGCCGCTGCCTTTCCCCTCGCACCACTCAACCTCAACCACAACCTCAACCTTAACCGAGCTAACGTTTCAACAACCTCCGCACAGTATTTCTGTGTCTCTTCAGCGGGGGTCCCGGTTCCCGGGTTCGGCATAAATAGAAACTGTTTCCAGTTCGATGAGACAGCGACGCAATTACACGGCCAAAGATCAGCGCACAGATTCTACATTTAAACATAACATACTTCATGTGCTCCGCTTCGTATCTGTTCTCCAAGCTCTCGGGCGTGAATTCGTCATGCACTTGTTTGCGTTAATTGTTGCGATAATTTATATTCTTTTATATTTATGAGTTTGATCAAATCTGAATGTCCATAGTCTGCTATGATTGTGCGAAGCTGATATTTCTAAAAATATTATACTTGTGATGTAGTTGTTCTGATATAGAAGAGACAGATGAGAAATGAGCCAACTTTGGTACACCTAATAAGCCAGCAAATGCCTGTCGCAATCGTCAGGGTCAAAATTGTAAGCACTCAGCTTTTTACAGTGCTTAAACAACATGCACGAATGCTCCAGTAGCTAGGTACTTAGTAGGGATTGCCCCTCTAGGAGATACCCTGTTCCCGGCGTCGAGTTGACGTTACAAATATACCAATAAAAATACAAATCACAAGACACAAGCTTCTGCTCCTTCTCTCCGTTCCAGGCTATGTTAAAAAGATTATTAAATAAGCTCGATGCTTATAGTCCGATTTTTTAAAGATATTCAGCAAAATTAAATGAATTATAAATGAATTCGCAAGCCAATACCTCCTACAATGTTGTTATTTTTAGGGGGAATACGAGAAGATATTTTGTTTCTGTGTGTACTCTACAACAAGGGTAGCTCTTAAAAGCTAAGAGATTTGATCAAAAACCTAAATTGAAGATCGATATTTATCGATTTTGCGGAAACAAGTTATCGGTGATATCCAACAAACTTTATCTATTTGGAGAAAGGAGTATGAGTAAGAGCAAATACGTGCAACAGATCGACATATCTAGATGCACATCACCAATATACTCCTTTTTGGCCAATTTCAATGGGTAACAATGGATAATTTCAGGGTATACAAATTAATTTTTTAACGACTCGAGTTTTTTTTCGACATTGCTGCTCATTTGATTAGTGCGTCAGCAAAAATTGAACGCAGGCCAAGGGCAGCATCGCGATCGTCGCAGTTCGACAGGTGTTTGCATTGCAACAAGGCAGCCCTTTCACGGCGACACCACAAAGATCACAACAGTATGCGGAGCACCTGCTCAAGCAATGGAACGCAAAACAGAAATCGAATAGGCGAAACACTGCGCAAATAGCTAAACGCTTGGCTAACCCCTGAGCATGCGACGTCTAATTAAATGCAGATAATCAAATACGAATCCCATCACCGGCATGTACTTGGCAAAAATTTATTCATTCAATCCCACAATCGATCAATCAATCAATCAACAGAAAGCAACAAAGCTGCGATTGCGGCTAATTGTGCAGCTTAATCAGTGATCGCAATTAAATCTCAAATCAAGTCGAGCCAACCGAAGCGTGAAAGCCTCAAAATGACCTTTGGCACTTGGATGCGATTCGCTCCCAGAAATCGAATCCCCACAGGGGTGTGGTCTTTTGCTGTCAGCGAGTGTTTTATTGTGCATAACAGCTGTAGGCATTGCGCCCTCTTAACTACATTCGTGTTGCAGTTGAGAAACAACTTTGACATTATCCCAATATGTATACCCTGTACTTATCGAGCTGAGACGATCAAGGCATGTCCATCTGTATGGATGCGGATCTCGGAAACAATAAGAAATAGCATTGACATTATCCCAAATTGTATTCCCTGTACTTATCGAGCTGAGACGATCAAGTCATGTCCATCTGTATGGATGCGTCGATCTCGGAAATTGTAAGAAACAACTTTGACATTAGCCCACTTTATATACCCTGTACCCATCGAGCTGAGACGAGACGATAAGTTATATGATCGCGTCGATCTTGGAAACAATAAGAAATACTTAGCTTTGACATTACCCCATTTTGTACCCATCGAGCTGAGAGCATTTATTCATCGATCTCGAAAACGATTAGAAATAAGTTTGATGTTGTATACCCTGTAACCGATAGGTTATCGAGCTGAGACGATTTATTCATG